ACCCTGCAGCCTACATCGGTCCCGAGACGAAAGTCTGCAAACCGCTGACACAATGTGGACTCCTGAGTCATTGACTTCCATCACCTGCTATAGGTGGATGTCCAGCCCTTCCCTGGACTGAGGTATATTCTTGATTACTCATTTTCTAAAGATAGTCACATCCTTTCAAACGGTTGAACCGGAACTGAAGGGCCTTAGGTCATCCATGATACCAGGATCTGCATATCAGCCTCCAGGAAGAGACTTCGCTTTTGGCTCAGACTGGAACCTGGTCGTGGTTCGGGCGGGAGCATTCCAGCCAGAGATATCTCAAGTATAGTCGAGCATTTCTGGCTTACAAGGACCAGACTAGACTCTAGAGGTGTTCGGCATATCATCGGAGGGAGAAGTGCAACCAACAGTCACTTGAGGGGACTCAGATCCTCCATTTTGTTTGGGTCTCGTCGGCCCAGAGCTCCGAGCCATTGACATCTTCCGCAATGCGTGCGCAAAACCACGCCCTAGCAAGAGATATCGCAAGCATTCTAGACGATACCGAACAAGGGCAGCTTGGGCGCGTCGTCAGAACAACAACTTCGAATAGCAATACTCTAGAGGGAGTCACAGGCTCCACTCAATCGGGGATATGCTTCGCAGAGAGCCCAGCGATTTTCAAACTCTGCAACGCCTAGCATGGTCATACGACGAGGCACTCCCGAACGAGAATATCACAACCATTTGTGACTCTGCGAACCCGAAGTATGAAGGCCTTCGATGTATCAAAGATTCTAGATGCCGACCGATCATCACACGAGGACGTTGATATGGCTGTATTAGTTGGTTTATTTGCGACGTGCTGTTGGAAGGCTTTCATCCGAGACTTGGCCGTTGAATGCGTCTACAGGTGGGTGGGTGACACCGAAACCCTGACAGGTGACATGCGGCGAAAGGTTCCCGAGGTCAATTCTTATGTTGAACAACTGAACAGATATTGCAAAGCTAGCCATAATCAAGTGATACGTCTTTGATGCGGGTGCAGATGCGTTCCTGAAACAATGCGTGATTGACGGGTGAATGATGTCACCCATAGAATGCAGTCAGCTTTCAAGCCTCACGAAGATTTACCTCACAGTCTTTGACCAGTTCATACAGCTAATGGTCCCTATTGTTTACCTCAATGTTCACAATTAATTTGTCCTGTACCTGACGACCTTTGTTGATGGTTCAACACCTTCGGGGCGGAGTCTGACGTTCGCGATGGCACTAGGGACCGGGGACCGTGGCGCATGCAGCTGCAGGGCTCTTCGTGCACTTTCATCCTTGGCCGATCGAAAGCCATTCCGTACTCATCAATTGCCTTCTTTGCCTTCTTGTTTGCGCCTTCTACATTTAATTCACAGCAGCCGCATCGCGCCTGCTTCCTTTGTTTACGCGCGTCATCCCGATTGGCATGCTGCTTGGCCGAGTCTCACTCGCCGCCTGCAAACGAAGCTTCCTTGCGACACCTTCACGCACCCTACCGTTGTCCGCATCACGCCCGCGCTCCCTCTTTCACACGCAGCACCTCACGAGGCTGTCTAGCTCTAGCGCACACCCCCTCGGCAAACGCTCCCTCCACACGTCGCCGCCTATAAATACCTCGCTGCCAATGGAACAAAATGGAACAAGCAAGCGCAAGCAACCGCCAACCTCGCCCGCAACCGACCGCCCAAACAAGCAGATCAAGCCCGAAGTAGACTCGCACACCTCGAACGGCGTCATGTCGCACTCGCCCGACCTGGAGGAGCCCATGGACGATGCGCGCAGCGAGTACAGCGCCCACAGCTCCCCCGACGCCCTCCCGTCGTCAGCGCACATCACCGCCGTCACGGGGCAGGACACGGCAGAATGGCAGCGGACGATTGAGAACGTGGTCAAGAGCGTCGTGTCGATACACTTCTGCCAGACGTGTTCGTTCGACACGGACCCGGCCATCAGCTCAGAGGCGACGGGCTTTGTCGTCGACGCCGAGAAGGGCTACATCCTCACCAACAGGCACGTTGTCGGCGCCGGTCCTTTCATCGGCTACTGCATATTCGACAACCACGAGGAGTGCGACGTCCACCCCGTCTACCGCGACCCCGTCCACGACTTCGGCATCCTGCGCTTCGACCCCAAGAAGATCAAGTACATGCCCGTCACCGCCCTCAAACTGCGCCCCGATAACGCCAAGGTCGGTGTCGAGATTCGCGTCGTTGGTAACGATGCGGGAGAGAAGCTCAGTATCTTGTCGGGTGTCATCAGTCGGCTGGATCGCAATGCGCCCGAATACGGCGAGGGCTACTCCGACTTCAACACCAACTACATCCAGGCGGCAGCTGCAGCGAGTGGAGGATCTTCCGGCAGTCCTGTCGTGGACCGCGACGGCTTTGCTGTTGCGCTGCAGGCCGGTGGACGTGCTGACGGTGCTGCGACCGACTACTTCCTGCCGCTAGACCGACCGCTACGTGCTCTCGAGCTCATCCGCCAAAGCCAACATGTCACCAGAGGCACCATTCAGACCCAGTGGATACTCAAGCCGTTCGACGAGTGCCGGAGGTTAGGTCTCTCGCCTGAGCTGGAGAAGGAGATCCGCACTCAGTTTCCCAAGGAGACAGGCATGCTCGTAGCTGAGGTCGTCCTTCCTCAAGGGCCTGCATCTACCAAGGTCGAAGAAGGTGATCTTCTCCTACGCGTCAACGGAGAGCTGCTTACACAGTTCGTCCGACTCGATGCGATCCTTGACGACAACGTTGGCAAGACCATCTCTGTAACCATACAGCGTGCTGGGGAGAACATGGATGTCGAGCTAGACGTTGGCGACCTACATGCCATCACCCCCGACAAGTTCGTTTCCGTCGCAGGCGCTTCGTTCCACGACCTCTCATACCAGCAAGCGCGTCTTTACGCTATCTCGCTCAAGAACGCAGGTGTATACGTCTGTGAGGCAGCGGGCTCCTTTAGGTTCGCTGACGGCTACACATCAGGGTGGTTGATTCAGGAAGTTGACAACCAGCCAACACCTGACCTTGACACTTTCATCCAAGTCATGAAGAAGATCCCCGATCGCAAGCGAGTGGTTATGATGTACAAGCATCTGCGCGATCTGCACACTGCGAACACTAGTATTACTTCTGTCGACAGGCATTGGCATGCAAAGATTCGGGTAGCAACACGTAATGACGAAACTGGCCTGTGGGACTTCAAGCCCCTCGCCGATGCCATTCCATCTGTGCCCCCAGTTCCTCGCCGTGCGAACTTCGTCAAGATGAGCTCAAGCTATCCCGAGGCCGTGGACATCGTCCGCAGCTTCGTTCGCGTTCATGTCTCTATGCCTATTAAGCTAGACGGCTTTCCTAAGATGAACAAACAAGGTTACGGTCTTGTTGTCGACGCCGAACAGGGTCTTGTCCTCGTCTCGAGAGCAATTCTGCCATATGACCTTTGCGACATCTCGTTGATCATCGCTGACAGCATCTTCGTCGATGCCAAGGTTGTCTTCATGCACCCATTGCAGAACTATGCCATCGTCAAGTACGATGCTTCTCTTGTCAACGCCCCTGTAAAGACACCCAAGTTTGCCACCGACTTCATCAAGAAGGGAGCCGAAACCATCTTCTTCGGCATCAACCAGAACTTCCGACCTGTCGTAGCAAAGACTGTTGTCACTGATATCACCACAGTCGCGATCCCAGCCAGCGCGATAACACCGAGATACCGCGCGACCAACTTCGACGCCATCACCGTAGACACCAACCAAGCCTCGCATAGTGGCTCTGGTGTGCTCGTCGCGGAGGATGGCACCGTCCAGGCTCTTTGGCTTTCATACCTGGGCGAGCGGACATCACACAGCGGCAAGGATGTTGAGTACCACCTCGGTCTTGCGACACCCAACCTTCTGCCAGTGCTCAACGAGATCCGCGGTGGCAACACGCCCAAGCTACGCATCCTGAACGTCGAGTTCCAGACCGTGCAAATGAGCCAAGCCCGCGTCATGGGCGTCTCAGAGGAATGGATCGAGAAGACCGAGACAGCCGACCCAGAGCGCCACCAGCTCTTCATGGTCCGCAAGGTCGACTCCGGCCACGGCGACGGTCTCAACGAAGGCGATGTCCTCCTCACCCTCAACGGCAAGCTCGTCACCCGCTCACCCGATCTGGACGTCATGTACAACAACGAGTTCCTCGACGCCGTCGTCGTTCGCAAGCGCGAGGAGAAGACCATCAAAGTCTCCACCGTCGCAACCGAAGACCTCGAAACCGACCGCCTCGTCAGTTTCTGCGGCGCCACCTTCCACCGCCCCCACCAAGCCGTGCGCCAACAAATCAGCAAAATCCACTCCGACGTCTACATCTCGTCGCGCGCCCGCGGCTCCCCAGCCTACATGTACGGCCTCGCGCCCACCAACTTTGTCACCCACGTCAACAACGTGCCCACGCCCAACCTCTCCGAGTTCCTCACTGAGATCAAGAAGATCAAGGATAACGAGTACTTCCGCATGAAGGTTATGACGTTTGATAATGTGCCGTGGGTTGCGACGATGAAGAAGAATGAACACTACTTTCCTACTATTGAGCATGTGAAGGATGCAAGTCAGCCGTTGGGCTGGAAGAAGATTATTCATGAGTGTGGGGATGGGGGTGCGAGGGAGGAGATGGGGCCGGATGAGTTGGAGGCTGAGGCGGGGGAGGAGTAGGTAGTGTTTGCTAAGGAGAGCAATGGTTGTGAGCTGTGTAAGATGTAGCGTACGGATGATAGAAGTAACAGAGAATCATGTATTCATTCATCTGGATTCATTCCCAGACGTGCTCTTTGAGACCCTCTTTGGGTGATACATAACCCCAATCCAGTCCAAATCCAGTCCCTTCCCCAAAGTATGAAAAGAGACAGTCCCTCTCACACTGCCTACACCCCTAGTAGAGCATGCCATGTGAATCACTCAATCTCATATCTGCTGACAGACATCCCCAACGCAGACCCAGGTAGCGCACGGTCCAGACCCCTCAAAGTTCCTCCTCCAGCATCTCCTCATCTACAAGACCCTCCTCTTCCTTAACCTCCTCCTTGACCTCAACCTTCTTCTTGCGACCCCGGGGCGTAGCTTTCTTCTTTGGAGAACCCTCAGTCACATCCTCCTCACACTTCCCATCTTCACCGCCGTTACCAGCACCAGCATCAAGGTCAAGTTTGCTCTTCCGCTTCTTAGGCGTAGCTTTGGGCTTGGCCTTGGGTTTCTCGGGAGTGCCGTCGGTAGTAGTAGCAGCGGCAGGGGCAAAAGCTTGACCGTTCTTGATCTTGACAATGTCGTCTTTGTGCTTCTCCTTGAGTCGCACGAGGAGTTTCTTGCAGGAGATGATAGAGCGGCCGGCAGGGATGGGCGCGTTCTGGTGGATTGTTAGTTCTGGGATACATTGATGAGTGCGGATTTGGGGTTTGAGTTGGTAGCTCCTGTGTGGCAGCTAGTGTAAGAGGGAGAAGGGCACTCACGCCGATCTTTGCATCGATCTTGCCTTCGTTCTCACAGAGGATGATGAGGTATGCGATCTGTGGTATGGTTAGCTGGGGCGATTGGGATTGGATGGGGTGTAGAGGTGACGTACCTTCTCGCCTTCAGACCAGGCGGCACCGCTTGCGCCGGTTTTGTTGGGGGTTTTGGGGTCGGTGTCTGACATCTTGGGGATGTTTTCTGGATTTTGTGGGAGGTTGTGTGAAGGTGCTATACGTCTGTGGCGTAGAAGTGGATGTAGTGTGGAAGAGTTAGTTAAGAGCAGGAGGCGGTGGTGAGGTAGATATGGGCACGGAGGGATGGGAAATCGGCAGCTTTGAACTCACCTTCACGTCGCGTTTGCGATGAAGTGAGCCCGTTCGTACTTTATAGGGGAATGAACGGTGAGGTGAGGTGACGGCGTGGACCTCTAAACACAGAAGCTAATCATGGTGAACTCGGCTTTGGGTGTGCGCTCTGAGAGGCAGTGCTAGGTCTTGCTGCTTGAGTCTATTATTTTCTTTTGCATTTTGACAGCATGAATCCTGTGGTTCATCTCATTACCAAGACTTTGGCAGTGTGATTTTCATGCTATCGTGAGCGTAGTCGTGTCGTCAGCCAATCTACTTGTCGCACTAGCCCGCTGCCAGCTTAGCACCATAGCCCACCTGCTCTTTTCACCCCACGCATCCAATTCCCGTCCCACAAACACGATAATGCTTGAGATAGCTTGCTTCAATGCTACTTCGGCCATCGCAGCAGCTCAAGCCGGAGCTGATCGAATCGAGCTGTGTGCCGACTACGCAGCTGGCGGGGTAACGCCTTCCCTCACCACGCTGCAGGATGTACGGAAGGAAGTCACGATCCCGATCAATGTTATGATCCGGCCACGGGGAGGCAACTTCAACTACTCCGACGAAGAGTTTGAGCTCATGAAGAAAGAGCTGGAGATGCTTAAGCCTGTTGCTAGCGGCTTCGTGTTTGGCATCTTGGACGCCAATCAACTTATAGACGAGGCTCGTAACCGCGAGCTGGTCGAGATTGCAGCTCCGCTTCCTTGCACGTTCCATCGTGCGATTGACGAAACAGGCGATTTAGAGAGAGCCGTGGAGACCGTTGCAGAATGCAGTTTCAAGAGCATCTTGACAAGTGGCGGAGAGAAGACCGCGCAGGAAGGCACTGGTGTTCTCCGTTACTTGCAAGAGGAGTGCCGTCCGAAAGTCTCATTCATTGCTGGCGGTGGGGTCAGAAGCACCAACGTTGAGAATCTCAAGAGGAGGACCAAAATAGAATGGTTTCACTCCGCGGCCATCACAACGCCTGGAGAAGACGTTGACGCCGAGGAAGTGAGAAAGATACAGGATGTGTTGTCGAAATTCAGTTGAGAAAAAGAGAAGACAAGCAAATTAAGGGTACGATATTATTCATTAAGCGTGGCGCATCAATACTGGACTGCCACAGGATGTATACGACATGCATGTGCTAGGACTCCAGCGGGTATCATCCATTCGGGATTGCCTCGAATACAACTCCTGAGGCCATTCTATCCAAATAGTTCACTGACTGCGACGTGTATGACGCCCGAAAGCAAATTGCTTACAAAAGCGCGTATAGCAAAGCACCGACCACCGACATTCCAAAGGATCTTGTTGTGTCGACAGACACCTGTCCAGCGGCTCCAGTAGATTGCGGCGAGGCATCGGAAGCTTCGGGAGTTTGTGTCACAACGTTGGTCTTAGCGGCGATTGTTGTGGCTTGCGTAACAGTGGTAGCGGGTACGGTGGTTTTGACCTCGACTCCACTGACAGTCGCCGTCTCGACAGTCTCCGCGACAGTTGTCGGCGCCGAGTATGTGACGGCGGGGACAGTGGTTGTGTAGACGATGACCTTTCCGAGTTCTGTGACTGGGACCGCTCCACCAACACCAGTACCGGTGTACTGTGCAGGGACCGAGAGGGTCGAAGTGTTTGGCTTCTCAGCCTCGTTGTTCGCGTAGATGTTGGCGCTCTGACCGTCCTTTGTGTAATCTCCGCTGACGAGGTTGACATCGGTGCCGCCGGAGCTGTAGGTTCCGGCAGCGACGTTTCCGTAAGATCCGTCTGGGAACTGGAAGTTGGTGGTGAACTTGTCGTAGCACATGGGAATGTTGATGTTCTTCACGTTGACGCAGTCTAGGCTCTGACGGCAACCGAAACCGTCCGCACGTCCGTGTACAGATCGCTTGTCGAAAGAGATGCCCTGGATCGACGAGAGAATATCGGTATAGAGGGAGCTCAACTCTGTGCCGACTGTTGGTGGAGTTGCGCCTGTCGCTCCTTGCGGCTGGCATGCCTCGTAAGGGTCGTCGTTCGTGGCTTTCGCCATGGAATCGAATGGCGACGCAGTTGCGACGGCCGCAAGAGCGAGGGAGAAGAACTTCAGAGACATTTTGTTGAGATGTGGTGTGTCGTGGGAGTAGTAGATCTTCTGGTACCGAGCGATGGTTATAGGTATTACACGATTGTTACACGGTGTAGTACTGAATGACCGGCGACTTTCAACAAGAGTAACGAATGGCAAACGCAGTCGCGCGAATGTAAAAGCGAGTGACGGAAGGATACGACTGGGTATCTGCCAAGGGTCAGAGGGGCACCCCGAGTCTATATACTGACTGTGCCCATATCGCTGATGCTAACAGGGTTTAATCAGGTTCGATCTTACAGCCGAACTAGCCAACAGGCACCATGCGCTTTACAACTGACGGCGCGCCACAATGCGATAGGACGTTTACCAACTGCCTGGGATCTGTTATCCGTTGGGCGATCATGTGTTCATCCCCCAAGACCTTGCCCAGGGGCGGCCCTCGTATTGGATTCCCACAGGATTGGCTGCCATACACACACAGCCCAAGTCTTTGGCCCCGCCAATGAGAACACCATCGCATTTGGCAGTTCCAGGAAAGTCAGCCGCGATGCCAGAACTTTGCTCATGCGCTGCACATGCGATCGATTGAAAAGCCATGCGCCAATAACGCACCGCTAGCCATTAAACGAGCTCATGGTCGCCTGATTCGCCGGGGGATAAATCGGCAGCCTCCAACCGAAGCGCGCTGCGAACGGACTTTTTCCTCATCCCTCAAGCCACGAAACGGCCTTTCATTCGAGATCACGAGAATTTGCAGTGCCGACATCCTTCCGTCTTACTCCAGGTTTGGCCAAGCCCACAACGCCTATCCGTCAACAAATAAAGAAAATAGCGGGCTCCAGCGTCATAAGCGGCAGCCCCGAGTCCCGTCCAGGGCAAGCATGCAGTGTTTGGCCCTGGTTGGTCCCTGACAGCACACCCACAAAACTTGCGGCCACGCGCACGCTGCCGTCCCAAATTTCTCTGCAGCGCTAACACACGACGGTTTTTGTGCGACGGTGATCATTCCTTTGAGCGGCGATAGCGCTCATGTCAAGACTTTGTGGACAGCTCGGCGTTCGCTCGAGCCTTACCTTATTTTGGCCCGCCCAGGTACAGCGTACACCACCAAGACTCTGTATCCTCATGCTAAGATAGGTAGCCGGTCAACAAAGAGACGATAAGAATAGCTTTGTCGTCGCATTCTTTTGGTCCACGGCTTTAGCTTTGCGCTGACCCAATGAGAACATCAGACGGAAGAAATTACAACCGAACAATTCGCGCATTAAGAGCCCTGGAGTGCAATGGTCGCGGTTATTCGGCACTCGATTAGGTTGCTTACCGAGATTTACTTTCGTGTTGTCCTCGCTTCCTCACGCAATTCTTTATCGCTGCACTAAGCTACTTCGCTCTAGGGGAGACGGACTGGCAATTATCAGTGATTCATTCCAGAGCCGTCGTTCGTTCTCAAACAGACAACACGTCGCGTGCGTTGTTCCGCTACGGTACAGACTACAGTTTACCCCACCACCATGCCAAGGTGTAAGCAGGGCTAGCTAATAATAGAGTTTTTCGGGGATCGACGCAGGAACAAAGCAGCTTACATCTGCACGCGAGACGCACATGATAAGGGGACGTTGCCACAACGATGCCTCCAATTTGATCTGAGCGATGTTGGCTGCTGGCCTGCGATATCATCCTGGCTGTACTGATATCCAAATCGATCTTTCCGATGCGCGTATGCGGGACCATTCGCACCGGCAACCGAAGGAATTTTCCAATGAATTTCTATACGAGGTAGGACCGATAGCGTGGAATCGGTCATGCGAGGCGACCGGAGCGGAGGTGCGACCTGCATATGTGCCGTAAGAGTACGTGCAGTAGCCGACCTGAACCACATCGTGAACGGATGACGAAGTCCAGACTTGTCTGTCATCAACATCAGTGTTTTGTGGTTGTTGTGGCTGTCGTCTGAAGTTACTTTTCTTTTTCGACCTCGCGTATTGGTTAGTCGCGGCCGCGCCGAAGCGATGTGCTGCTCGTTGGCGCCAGAAGTACCTAGGACATGCGGAACATAATATCCCAACCTGACTCCCACTTCTCGACATTCGTACATGGGCAATTAATGGCCATCTGGGTAAATGTAGCCGGACACGAGTTGTCCGCCAATTGTTGACATTGTGTATAGGCTAGGTTTGACTTTCGCAAGGTATTGCGAGAAGGTGTCAGCTTCTGGCAGTATGCTTGAGGAAGATAAGAAAGAAACGAGTAGCCAAATGAGTGTTCTGAGTACAAAGAAAGAGCCATCCCAAAATACTGTTCTCCGCGTTTCATCAACGGTATATCGACACCGCGACTTCAGTTCATCCGTTGCCGACTTCGTCCCTCAGTCTTCCATGTACTTTGGAACATACAAACAACTCTTCCCATCAGCCGCACCTTTGCAACAATCTACCCTGATACTTCGCCCAGCCATATCAGCCAATTGATCGGGTACGTTCAAACGCGCATTGACACACTTCCCCGAATAGTTGTCTGTCAAAGCTGGGTCTCCCCCGCAATTGGGTTGGAAATATACTCTCGTCTCGCAGATCACGTTGTCAGCTGCTGGTGGCTGAAAGCTCCCTGTCAAGGCGACGCTTTCCGCACTGAGGAACCCGCTGAAGAACCAGTTGGAGTCGACCGCGTCGTAGCATTGTCCGTATCTAACGTCCTGTTCTTTGAACACCGTAGGCGCATCAGGATCAGGCGGAAATGTTTTCAGACAGTCATCCATCACGAAGACGGTGATTTTGTGGGTTGCGT